CGCGTCTGTATGTGGTGGGGGGAACAGGCTGACACTGCGCGTCTGTATGTGGTGGGGGGGACAGGCTGACACTGCGCGTCTGTATGTGGTGGGGGAACAGGCTGACACCGCGCGTCTGTATGTGGTGGGGGGACAGGCTGACACTGCGCGTCTGTATGTGGTGGGGGGACAGGCTGACACTGCGCGTCTGTATGTGGTGGGGGGACAGGCTGACACTGCGCGTCTGTATGTGGTGGGGGGACAGGCTGACACCGCGCGTCTGTATACGGTGGGGGGGACAGACTGACACACCAAAAAGTACTAAAGGAGTATTAATGCGTATCTTGCCATCAATGTTTTTACTACATTCTGTGTAATATTTCCATGAATTGAAACTATCTGAGTGCAAAGGAAAAACAAATAGGAAGAAACAACTGACTTTGAAATACTGACACCTAAGATTCAAAACTAACCACATGTACTAAAATAGTATTGAAGTGAGTATGAGCTACTTAAAATTTTCTAAAGAAAACTTCTTTCCCTTCTCCCTCAATACTATGTTTGAACAATTTTTATAATTTTCATCACTTTTACCTTACCATGTTTATAGTCTTGATTTATTAGGATGACTTGTTGCAATTTTAAGGTATTCAAATAACAATAAAAAAATTTCAGATCCAACTAGTTGTCTATAATTTAGCGTATTATATTCCACTTTTACACTGGCCACCTCTACTTATCCTAGAAATGAAATAATCTCTGTATTTGGAGAGAGGTGCTTAATAACCACCAAAACTTTTCCATTCCATGACAAATTAAGAGTGAAAAAAAAAGTCTTCACAGAGACAATATCACTGGCTATTGAAAAATAAAATAGTACTTTAATTGTGAAAAATGACACACTTAAAAAAATCTACGCATTTATTCCCAGGGTCCTGACGGCCAGGTCCACGTGGCCTGTCTCTGCGAACAGCTTTACTGGAACAGAGCCACACCACTTGTGTACCGACTGTCTCCAGCTGCAGCTCACCGTTGCCATAGGGCCCCGGATGGCTCACCAAGCTGGAAATGTTTACTCTCTGGTCCCTCACAGAAAAACGTCTGCCCAGCCCTGATTTAGTTCGCTAGAGTTGTGTCCCAATATAACTTCAAAAACTGAATGAACAGAAATAAAATACACCTTTTAGTAAGGCTCTGATTAAAAAAAAATCAACACTGGACACAGTCTAGGCGAGCTCGCCTTTGTGAAGTCACCTGACCTAGTCACGGGTAAGAAAATTCAGGGACTAAATAAAGCAGGAGAATGTAAGTCAAACCCGGGGTAGGAGCCCTCCGGGCAGGGCGGGGCAGCTCACCTTTGCTGGCGCTGACGGTCTGCAGCACCATCTCGGCAGCGCCGCGGTCGTGCAGCCTGGCTTGCTGGTACAGAAGCTTCTGCTTCTCCATTTCCTTTTCCTGAACACAAATCCCAACCGTTTATGTTGCGGCTGTCATTAAGCAGAGCGGCTTTATAAACCGTATTTTTCAGTCATCTCTTCATGTATGGGCTCTATGACAACATTATGGACCATTTCAACACCAACAATGTTACTCAGCAGGTGGTAACGGATTCAACTCTTGGGGTTTTTTTTCCCCTTTATATTTCTCATGATATGCTTTTGGTACTGGTTGATCAGGATGAATTTTCTCAATTGTAATTATTTGATTAGTCCAAAGCCTGTATCAGAGTTTTGAAGGACTGTACTTCATCATCGAAACTTCCACTTTCTGAATTATGCGTTTGTGCATAAGTTTGTACGTTTTTAGTCATCTCCCAAGTCATGGCCATAACTTGATACTGCTCAGCAAATGGCTCGAGTAGGAGGTTATCACGGAATGACAGAGAAACAGTAACTGAGACGTGTTGGAGTATAAGCAAAATTGAAAGCTGATAGGCAGAGAAGGGCAGGCTTCAGCTAAGTGGTGGACTTACCGCACCCCCCCCAGTCCCGCCCCCCGAGGGTAAAAGAAGCAGTGTGCCTTTATATTTTGTATTCTCCGGTGGTAACAAACGATACTGCATGGCACTGCCAGAGCGGCGGCTGGACTGCTCTTTTCCACTTGAACTACCACTGAAAGCACAGACGGGAATAGAAGTAAAATATAAAGGCACAGCAAGTTCAGGACTGGTAGGATCATTCACTTGAGCTACCCAGTTCGCTGGAATTAGACGGAACCAAGCAGTATAAGTTGCAGAATGGAAGTTGCATAGAGCCCGAGGACAGCGAGTCCATCCAATGGCGTGGAGAGAAGCTGAGTCAACGGGACATGAAACAGTCAAGTAGTATCATGTCCATAAACACAACGGCCAAACAGGTATGACCTAAGAGCAGGAAGAGCTGCAGCAGAAGTAGCCAGGGTGACAGCTTTGCTGCCGTAAACTTTCCATCCAAAGTACGGAAAATAGACACTGGAAGATGGAAGAGGTTTAAAAAATGAAGGCTTGCTAGTTACAGAATATGAAAAATAAAGGAAACTAAAAAGAGGGGGAAAAGAAATGGGCTCAAACAAATGAAAAAAAAAAAAGAAACCTTTAAATCAAAAGCAACCAACACAGACATTTATGCTGTTACCAGAGAGTTCTCGCCGAGGCTGGCAAATTTGTCTCTTAAATCTTTGATAATATCGTGCTGCGAAAACAAAATTGATCAGGGTTTTTTTCACACTATAGTTAGAGCTCCTGCGGTTAAATTTTTATTTTTTCTTAAATTATGTGATAGGCCTAAATGGATGCAGAGAAAAGAAAAAAAAAAAAAGGCAGCTTTGCTTTATATGTAGCCATGCTAACATCTAAAAGGTTTGCCTTCATGTTTAAACCTCTTCCTGTGAAGTCAAAAACAAAACGAAAACAAAATCACACGGACACACAAAACCATATTGTCATTACAACACGGCCTCAAGAAAACTGAAAGGAGCCCCTTGCGCCTGCTCTTCAGGTGTTGTTGAAAATTGGTGAGCAACATTTGATTCTTCCTTTTAGACCCAACAATCTTTCACTTTCCTCCCATTTTCAGAGCTACTGGTGGAACTTTTATTTCCCAGCTTAACCCACTCCCTTTGTAAAGAGTGTTCCAGTAAAACAATGGTGAGAGATTACTGGCTTAAGGAACTGCACCATTATTTTCATCACCTAGAGAGGCAAGGGAGTTAGAAAGAGCAGCTCTGCTGGCTCAGTAGAGCATGTAAAGGTAGCCATCAGGAAACCCAAAGAAGATGCAAGAGGGCAGTATGCCACATAGCTTTGAGGAGAAACAAAAACCAAAACTCTTTGCCATTTACGCTCCCAAAGAAGACAGACCAGCTCAAAGGTCTGCCACAGCAGCTTGTGGAACAGGATCTAAGGTCCCAGCAACCTCTCCGGGAACTGAGACCACTCATGATGGATGGACCTCTGGAGGGTCAAGAAAGACTGGACATCAAACCGCCTTCTTTAAAAAGTAAACTCCCTGAGCAAAGATCGCTCTCATTTTTCTTACATAACGTATACCTGTCAATAATAACAGTAAATATTTTAGGGGAGATGAGACTCATTTCAAAAAAAAATATTGAGCAAAAATAGATATACTGATTCAGAAGTAGGAAAGCCTTATTTCATAAAGACAGATGGGGCCAGCTACTCTTTCAAATTTCTTGTTAGATTGAGTTGGAAGCTCTCTCTTCAGAATACCTTTAATATTACTTCTTTTGGTACCTTGTGTTCCTTTGAGAACTGCTTCTGGGGATACAATTGAATCTCCTCACTGGAAATTTTATCACTACATAAAAAAATAAAACCTCGAAAGCTAAAGCTAAACTAGAAAATTTTTAGGCAATAAAATCATGGGTTATGTAGAAAGGAAAAAATTCGTTCATTCCAAATTTACTGCAGATCAGCTTTTCCAAGCAAACTGGAGACAGATCTTTTAGAAGTATCTTACTCAAGGAAATAGCACCTTGAAAGTACCTTTTTCAAAGTAGGGTTCCTCATCCCACCGCATTCCATATTCTGCTTAAACTGCCAAAGGGTCTTTAAACACTATACCTTCAACCTGTAGTTTAGTCTTCAAATTTTTCCATCGTTACAAAGGGAGGTTAAGGGAAAGAAAATTTATATTAAAAAGGAGCAGCTCCACAATTTAAATTTTCCCTTAGGCAAAAAGTTCTGATTGCCAAAAGCAACCAAGAATTACCAGCTGTTTTCTAAATAAGATTGTTACGAGTCTTTCCAAGGTCAAGGGTGATCATATATTGGACCTATGATAAAATCAGTCATTGAATGGGAGCATTCAGCATCATGATTTGCTTTTTTAGTATAACTGAAGTTTGTAAGAAAATTGCTAAAAATCTTCTATTTTGTCTAAAAGTTTCTCAAGCTTTCAGCACTTGATGGTGGGGGGGGTGGTAGGGAAAGGCTTGAAGAAAAACATCCTTTCAATTCAAAAAAATGCTGAGATAAGACTAAATTATATCAGCCCTTGTTTCTTGGTGGAGAAAATAGTTTATCCCCATAATGAAGACACAAATATGATTTAAACCAGGGCAGACTGATGGCAGCAAAGAAATTCACTTTGTTTCTGAGGGACCTTTCTAGTTTATGGGCATTTAGGGCAGCACAGTACATCACAAGCTGAGAGTGCCAAGTCTACACTCTGAGCATCACCCCAAAGGAGCCACTAGCTTGTACTTTTTTGGTACTTCTAAGCCTTCAGCAACTATTGAAAAAGTTATCATAATCTTTTCCTCTTAAACTCATGTGCAAGCTAGTTACAGTATAAGTGAACAGAAGTTTCCAGGAGCTGAACTCTTTCTAAAAGTATTTCCCATAATGTAGCAATGTTGTAAGTCGATATTAAATAATTTTATCTGGCATCTGAAATGTAGTCGTAATCTACAAGGTGATGCTGAATCTTAACATTACCAAAAAGAAGACACTGGAATATAGAAGATTTAATTGGATAACTTAAGGACAAAGCTGAAAGACAGTGATATGGTACTAACAGTCTGGTTTAAAATACAAACAGGACAACTCACACTAAGGAAAACTGAAAGTATAGACAGCAGTCACATCTCCAGAACTCCAACTAGTTCTGTTCTTTGTCCTAGCTTCCAAAACTACAGGGGAGTCATACTCATCAAAAGATGACTCACGGCGTCAGGGAAGCACTTATAAGATTGTAACTTTACTCAATAATAGATGGTTCCACAAGATTTTTTAAATTTAATTTTTAAAAATTAAATGAACATGGAGGTTTCTAGAAATAAAGCTCCATGAGGAAAGGGGCCATAGCTGGTTTGCTTATTAAACACAACTCGAGTACACATATACTGCATATCCAGTACAGTTTCCTGCACATAAAAAATGTTCAAGAAAGTGTAAATGAATCAGAGAACTAGATAATGTGCTATCATGTAGTATGCAAAATTAATCCAAAGTTTTACAAATATTATCCTTCCTTTGAAGAGCTACAAAGCTAGTGCAATGTGAAAATTTTATGTAGTTTACTTTTTAGTATAGGGTCCAAAAAGTCTAGATTTATACACATACAAAAAATAACAATTCTCAAATTGTAGCTTTTAGCTTATTTTTTGTCTGTAGCTTTCATTACTGCGCATTCTCTTTGTTGTTGAACCATCACATAGTACAGTAACCTTCTAGAGTTCTACTTCCCAATAGGATGATCGTGTTTCTAATGTTCTCTTTAAGTAAGAAAATTTTTAAAAATGTGGCTTACCCAAAGCAAACTTTGTTTAAATGCCTAAGATTTACTAACATATAAGAGACAACAAAAACACTGAACCACAGAAATGCAGCTCAGCTAACGCGCTGGAGGCTCTCAAAGTGGTCAGATGTGTTGCGTAGTGTGACTTTACGGCTGACTTCTTCCTGTATCAGATACACTTCCATTTCGTTTGGAATTCTGTTTCCCCTGGATTCAGCATATTTAGAACTAATCAATACTATGCTAAAGCACTGAAACCAGCTGATTTGAAACGGTTTTCTATTTCAAGGTCCTGCTGACAAAACTTAGGCTACGCCACCAAAAGCCCTGTTAACAAAGTACAACATGAAGGAATGAGTGACTCTAGAATCAGAGGCTATCAAATTAGCCAAGTGAGGCTGATCTGTCACTAGAGGGAGTGTGTTTATCCTGAGCACAGTACTGATTTTCAAAAGCCTTCACCTATTTGTTTCTTTGTTTAAGCCGCAGAAGCCCTGGATACTGCCCTGAATGTGGAACGTACGTGCCCTGCAGTCCTACTAGGATAGCCTGACAGAGGGGAGGATGAGAGCACTGGGGGACTGACGACCTCCAGCCCCAGGGAGGAGCCGTTAGAGCAGAAGGTGCCAGGAAGCTGGAACAGTCAGTGCGAAGCAGCAGTCGGTAGATTTTATCACAGAACAGATCACAGCAATGCACCGTTTGGATTTTCAGATC